TATCGAAAGCAAGTCCCATGCGTCTTAAAAAACTGCAAGAAAGTCTCTTCACGATATTCCTCTTGCCACTTGTTTTTCCTACTTCTTCCTTTTGAAGAAAGGTTTCAACGATGTCTTATGAGTCATAAACAATTTCTTTGATCTCTTTGATAGTGTTTCTCACCATAGCACTTTCATGTTTCTTGGCATCTGCATCTTCCAAAAAACACCTTAGCATATTCAGATCACTCTTTAATTCATCTAATTGCCCTTTCACTCCATGAAACCGATCAGATTCTCGGACAAGGAGGTCCCAGAGCTTTTCGACTCCATATGATAAAAGTGTCTCGGCCATAACTCTCCCCTGCATAACCACGAAACAAGTAAGTACTCAATAACCACTAGAGGGAAAATCCATGAGTTCATAATATTGCAAACTTCAAAGACTAAAATAAACTATTATTTGGGATTTATTCCAGATCTTTATACAGAGACAGACATAAAAAGAAATTATAAAACAAAAAGATCGAAAGGAATAAACAAAATTATAATCACCTCCTGCGTCCAGCTGGCCTGTACAAGATTACAAAAGATGTGTGTGTTTTAGCGTTTCGTTAGAACTTGAAGAACTCGGGTTAAGATCATAGACCAAAGAAAAAAACTCTGGTAAAGACCCCATAGAAGACTTGACACTAAGTCAACACTAACCGACAACCAGCTGTCCAACACCCCTATAATAGGGTGCTTAAATTTTTTTATTTTTTTCTGATTTTTTTAAAAAAATTTAAAAACAAACCGAACCAGCACGTATCTGTGTAATCCGCGAACAGTACAAGCATCAAAGAAAATTGGATGTTTATTTCACTGGATTATGTCTTTATTTGTGTATTTCACGTGTCAGTGAGACCCGCTAACAATGCAAGCATCAAAGAAAACTGGATACTTATTTTGCAATTGGAAGCACTGAATTTTGTCTTCGGGCAATTTACCAAATAACTATAGCAAAATTCAAAATTAAAGATATAACCATAAGGAATGTGATGTGACAATTAACGCCGTTGTTGGACGATTTTCGCCTTTCACACGCCTACGCGGCTGTAAGAGGCGAGTGAGCAATGCGAGACAATATACTATGATGCATATGCTATAATATAGTCAGTGAAAACAAACCATAAACCATGAATCCAAACCATTAACCCAATATATATATGTTATATACTATACTATAGTATATATTGGATAGTACATGGAATACAATAACACACAAAGCAACTTTTGAGACTAACATCCAAAAGGGGTACACTATGTTGAAATGCGACTATATATATGAAGCTAAATATTCAGGTTTTTTGAGAGGAAACATATTAACATGCACGAAATACAAAATGAGAAGAGTGACACATTTCTAAAGTGAATTTACATACTATACTATTGACAAGTACTAGTATAGAAAATATAACATCTTACCTCACAAATCACCTACAAAATTACATTCCATTTACAAAAGAACAATCAAGCATAGGGTCTATCAAGCATGAAACTGTGTTTGTTGTTGATAGGTAAAACTGTGTTGATTGTTAGTAGGTAAAATATAGAGGGTGAGGGAGGGGAGAGGGAGAAAGGGATACATGGACATGGACATGGACATAGAGAGGGAGAGAGAGAGGGAGGAGGAGTGGGAGAATGAGAGGAATCGGTATACTGTTACTATACTATTGATTTTTATCATATAGTATAGGCTTATAGTTCATCCTTCACTGTTGCGCCCAGCCCCGCCGTAAACTACTTCAATTAGATCTAATGTATTACAATTACAGTTTAAACTATTATTTTCATAGTTGAAGAATATAACTCTGATTTCCGCTTCCTTCCGTCACCGAAGTTTTGACGCCTCCTCGATCTCTCTCGTCTTTTTCCAGTTTCTAACCCGATATAATGTATTACAACTACAGTTTAGAAAACGAAAGTTACGATTCACTTCCACGCGCAAGCTGAGGATAAAATGGGGAATAAAAAGAAAAAAATCAATTATATCATAACTAAAGCCTTGCTATGGTTATTTTTTTTTTTTTTTCTTATGGCTACTAGGCCTAATTCCCCTTTTGTGTTTAAGCTAGCGCCCCGGATGATGATGCTCTAAGATGACGGGAAAAGGGCATATTTCTACTCAAACAATTTCAATCGTGCCAAATACAACCCGAACAATTTATCAGTGCCAAATACGACATGAACTACGTTATAATTCAAAAAAACTACCTGAAATTTTTAAAACGTGCCTAAACCTACATTGAGTAACATTAGTTAGTCAACCGTTAAAATGATAAAACGACGTCGTTTTGATTTCACTATTTTTTTTTAAAACAGACACATCAACCACTAGACTAAAGAAATTTGTTGTTACAATACTACCCATTTGCAATTATATATGCTACTATACTTTTTCATCTTCTCTAATTAAAACTTTGGTTATTATTATTTTTGATTCTTATAAATATATTAACATGATTTATAATTATATCATCTTTAATAAGTTTATATTATACTAAAATATAAATAATAAAATATTTATATTTATACAAAATTAAAGGTATTTTATATTTCGTACCTATTTACAAAATGTCCATATATAAATTATTTTAAAAATTTAAAACTTGAATGGTAATTTCTTTTATTTTGGCAAAGTATATTCAACTTATATTAATATTTACCTGAGGAAATATACTTTGCCAAAATAAAAGAAATTACCATTCAATTTTAAATTTTTAAAATAATTTATATATGGAAATTTTGTAAATATGTACAAAATATGAAATATATTTTAATTTTCAAAATATTTTATTATTTATATTTTAGTATAATATAAACTTATCAAAGATATAATAATTAAAAAACATGTTAATATATTTATAAGAATAAAAATAATAATAACCAAAGTTTTAATTAGAGAAGATGAAAAAGTATAGTAGCATATATAATTGCAAATTTGTAGTATTATATCAAAAAGTTTCTTTAGTCTAGTGGTTGATGTGTCCGTTTTAAAGAGTGACAAGGAACGGGTTTGAGTCTCGGAATGTGCATATTTTTTAAAAAAATAATAAAATTAAAACGACGTCGTTTTATCATTTTAACGGTTGACTAACTTCTGTAACGGTCAATGTAGGTTTAGGCACATATTAAAAAGTTCAGGTAGTTTTTTTGAATTATAAAGTAGTTAAGGTCGTATTTAGCACTGACAAATTGTTCGAGTTGTATTTGACACGATTGAAATTGTTTGAGTAGGAATATGCCCTTTTCCCCTAAGATGACGTGTGTATGAATACTTTGGGTAGAAAGTCTGAATTGCCACTTGTCAATTTACAATTTGGTTCGAGAAAAAATAAGGGTTTCTATTTCAGTTAATTTCAAATCTTATGTCTAATGAAATGAAAGATAGAACAGAGAGTCAATAGATGAGAGAATACTATAATCAGCACCAGCAACAATCACTTGGTGATAGGATGCTAAAATGTGTAGTTTCCATAATAGTTATTGTTACCTTTACCCAACATTTCACAAGAAAAGAAGCAGATAACGAAAGCAAAACGTTAAAGAGAAAATATAAAGCCTGGAAATGTGTTGATGCACGCAAACGATAAAAGACTTGTGATACAACCACCATAGGAATAAGCTCACAGGTTCATCAATCTGTATGGTCTGGCTCCAAAGGATGAAAATACAAATTTTATCAGCCACAAGCATACTATAGAGTTTCTTCATCAGTCTGACACAAGTTGGGTTCTTTAGGTTTAGCTCATCAAGTTGCTTCATCAACTTGGTCTGTATAATCTCAAAAGATCTTTCACTGCGCCTCATGGGTACAATCAGTAGCGGCCTTGAGGGGAAGCAAATGAAGCATAGGCTTCCGACCTTTTTTTGTGTTAATAATATATCGGCCACAAAATTTACAAAAACCTTAAATAACCTAGTGATTAACTAAAGCCAATGTAGAAATATAGGTAATGGGTTCGATCCTATGCCTACAACAATCAGCCTTTTTTTTTTAAATTGCTTCCAATCCAGTCTGTAAAAATTCAAGGCCAGCACTGGGTACAATACAACAGCTATGTTCTCAGTTATAGTGACTGCATCAGGCTTAGACCTTCCTCTCTTATTTTCTCTGGAGCAGATAAGACCTGACGTTCTTCAACTAATTATACATGGCTACAAGCCGTTAAGAGAAAGTGAGTGCATCTTGTTTAAGAAAGGTCAGCTTGGAGTTCAACTTCTGTTACCTGTAAGATTCTTCCTCATAACCCAGCCCAACCATTTGCAGAATTGTTTGCTAGACATACGGTCCTGTGAACCACTGTGAAGAACATACATCCATGAGAGTGAATCAAACTTCCTTTTCACTTTCATGTTCCTTGGCATTTGAATCTTTTTTTAGCAAATGACGACAACATTCTCGTATCTTGATAACTCACTTTTAACTTGAAAAATATTTTAGGGAAATAAAAAGGAGAACAAAAGTTCAAAACAGAAAGGGATCATATATTGCTTGCATAACAGTTGCAGATGAAATAGACTAATATCATGTTTCAAAAGAGTTATTTATTACCTTTATAATCAAACCAGTGTCAGTCTATCTATAGAACTAAAACCAATTTAGAATGAGATCCATTTTTTGGTCAGAGAAAAGCATATAACTTGTATGGTCAACTATACATAGAGATTCACCCAACATAGCAGTTTCACCTTCAAAACATATTCCACAAACCTACATAGGATGCTAAACGATCAACCAAAACAGAAAGAAAACACAGAGATGAAAGTCTCAAAGAGAACATTTTTGAACGATTAGACAGCAGCGTCAACTTTACTACACCTCAATGAAAATATGAGCTTTCTTTGTTTGTATCGCGTATGGATCCGTACCCCAACAGCATTATTTCCCCTCTCTCTCCCATCTTTTTTTTTTGGTAAGTATGACCAAAGAAATGTTAATTTGAGCAAACAACATATTGAACATGAGAAATGGTGATGCTTTTTCCATTGCTGACTGAATATTACACTTTTTCATTTTGTTAAAAAGAAACACTTTAAAGTTTTACAGACTCATATCCTGAAATCACCACCGAATTAGAACAAAAAAGAGAGAAAATCACTAGACCACAACCACCAATCCAAAAACCAACTTATAATATTTTCCTAATAAAAGAGATTGCGGTCAAAGCAAAAGACTAAGAAAGATTAATAGACAGACCCCAAAACAACAACGAGGTTAGATCTTTTCTGTCATCTTCATCTCCAATCTTGTACGAACTAAAAATGTTCGACCTTAAACTTCCACTCGCCATTCACAGCATCATAAGACACAAACTGAGCTCCTTGTTCTTCAGCTTTCCTCTTGAGCATTTCCTTATACTTTTCCACCCTCGGGCCTTCCATCACTTGCTTCCCGCTCTTCTTGTCCATACATTTTATGTTGAGCAACGTTACTTCCGCTGGCTTGTTCAGTCCCTCACCAACAGGGGGCTTCTGGCTCTCGTCCATGTACACAAGCACTTCCCTGTTATTGAACTGAACCAACTTTTCCAAGTCGAGCTTCCGCACATCCGTCTCTCCAAGAAACTTTATGCTTCCGTAACCGTGTCTCCCAACGACAAAGTCCCGTACTCGTCCGCAATAACCAGGACTAACCCTTTCCTTTGCAGCAATTTCTTGGATCCGAGGCTCTGTGAAATACTCAGCGTGATGCAGCTTTGGCAGCAATGACTCGATTTCTGCTCTACTTGGTGAACTCTTTGAGCCGTTTTTGTCGCCTCCATGATTTTCATGTGCTACGTTAAGTTTCTCATTGGCTTTGACCGGAGGAGTATCAGGAACTTCACCATTAGTCTTATCTGCGGATATTAATAAATTAAGTTAGAGAATGATTCCCAAAAGAAAACACAAACATGAACCACTGTTCTGTTATGTATTCAATACTTACTCTCATTGTTGGCTCCGTTAGCAATAACCCCATTCGATCTCCTACCTGAAATTCACATGTAAAAACAATCAAGTGGGTTATCTTACGAATACAAGTATTCTCGGAATGTTCGAAAACAGAAGTAGCTTAGATTGAAGTGTTCGAAGTGAAAACTTCTCACTTCTTTGCCATTAAAACTAGGCTCCAGGCATGCAATAAATATGCCACTGAATGTAAACAAGCAAGCTTACCATTCTCCTGCAGCGGGGTCGACTCATCCTTCAGCGGTGCTGCTATTTCCTTTTTAACTGGACGTATAAACAAAGCTCTCGGGTTTTCCCTTGGGGTGAAAGACGCATCAGCCTTGGGTGTGTTGGAGTTCTCTTCATCACTGAAGAATGGAATCTGAAAAGACAATTGAGAAACAAACATTTAGAAAGAACTTCAGTAACAAAAATATAAAGATTGCAGTTGAATTCAAGACCAAGCCGACATTCAGAAAATAAAGTAACATGCCTTTGGACTATCATCCCCAGGACGGTACTTTCTTGGAGGCAGCATGACCCGTCTTTGCAAAAGATGTCGAGATGTCAGGAGTGGTGATACTCTGGCTGGTGCAGGTCTATCAACGACCTGAGTAGAAAGAAAGAAAACATTTTTGTTAATAACATGGAGTCTTTGCTTTAAGGTTGGGAGGAAAAAAGGAAAAGAAGAAAAAGTTGGTCTGTTGGTATTGAAGAAAGTAGAATAAACTTACAGGCAAGCTGGAGATTCCATACTGAATCGAAGGTGAATTTCCACCTTGACCAATTGACATCTGAGGCAAAGCAGGAAGCGTGCCAAATGGGCTAGCAACAGGGTTTGGTTGCGTAGCAGTGGGGTTAGCCATGGCAGACCTGTCAAAACAAAGAAGAGAACGAACCGTAAATAAGATATCTAAAAGGAAAAATAAGAGTCGAGAAGAAACTGATGTACTCACACTTGCCCAAAGTTGCCTTGACCCAATGCCAATCCACCTGAAAAGGCACCTGCTTGGGTCTGACCAGAGTTGTTGAAAGTAAAAGATGGTTGAGATGGCTGAGTTGATTGTTGGGGTGTCAAATCAGCAGGCTACAAAAGTAAACCAACGTTAGAAAAGAGAAAGAGACATTGATTGAGCTACAAAAATAAGTTACCTTTGTTTGATTAAAGGGAGAGATGCTTGTATTCAAGGATGGAAAGCTTGTAGACATGTTGGGGAATCCAGTGGAAGGTGTACTGAAAATGCTAGGTTGGGTCTGTCCAAACCCAGAACTAGTCTGTGCAAATGAGGGGGTTGAGCTAAACAGCGGAGCTGACTGACTGTTGTTAAAGTTTCCACTGCTAAATGCTGGAGATGACCCTTGTGCAGGAGTCGAACTAAACAGTGACGGAGAGGAGCCAAATGGCTGCGTTGTGGTTGCTGCAAAACCAGAGGATGGTCCAAAACCAGAGGACGATCCAAAACCGGGTGTGGTATTTGATGAAGTGGCAAACATGGATGGGGTAGTAGGTTGGCCAAAGGGAGACGAAAAATTTGTGTTCGTTGCTGGAGTGTTCTGGCTGAAAAGGTTTGGTGTGGTTTGAAAAGCATTTGTGTTTGCAGATGTCTGGCCGAAAGGATTTGTGGGCGTCTGAAAAGCGTTTGTTGGGTTTGAAGATGTCTGGCCGAAAGGATTTGGAGATATTGTGCTTTGAAAGGAGTTTGTTGGATTTGTAGGTGTCTGGCCGAAAGGGTTTGTGGACGTCTGAAAAGCGTTTGTTGTGTTTGCAGATGTCTGGCCGAAAGGGTTTGGGGATATTGTGCTTTGAAAAGCGTTTGTTGTGTTTGCAGATGTCTGGCCGAAAGGGTTTGGGGATATTGTGCTTTGAAAAGCGTTTGTTGTGTTTGCAGATGTCTGGCCGAAAGGACTTGGGTTCGGGGATATTGTGCTTTGAAAGGAGTTTGTTGGATTTGTAGGTGTTTGGCCGAAAGGACTTGGGTTTGGGGAGATTGTGCTTTGAAAGGAGTTTGCTGGATTTGTAGGTGTCTGGCCGAAAGGGTTTGTGGACGTCTGAGAGAACGCACTAGTTTGATTAGCAGGAAGTTTTCCACCTGAAAATTGAACAAGAAATCAATATTTTGAAAAATAAGATACAAACATCTAATGCAAGACAAAATGGATTTGTTATGTGTACCTTTGTCTCCTCGCTGGTAGTCCTCCCACCTAAGCTCCTCATGGCATTTATCTTTGTAGACAGGCATGGCAGATATAGACTGGAACTTTCCAGGGGTAGCAGCTCCAGCGTCTGCATCTATTGTAGATGTATAAGGCATGACCCTACTACCGCCTTGTTGATTCCCAAAGGTTGTCGAAGCCTGAGAAGCTGCAAGAAAAAACATGTAAGTTTTATTCCTAACCATTTATTCGATAGGAATTTGCAAATCTAATTCTGTTACTTAATAAGACTAGCTAAAGAACCTTGAGCTCCAAAGGCAGATTGCGTAGACTGTCCGAAAGCTGGGGAGGAGCCAAAACCAAAGGCAGAAGTGCTTGCAGGTGTGCCAAACGCAGAAGTGCTTGCAGGTATACCAAAAGCACCTCCAGAACCAAAAGCATTGTTGCCAAATGCACTGCCAGAGTTACCAAAGGCAGGAGTGGTTGACGTGCCAAATGCAGGTGAGCTTGAGTTGCCAAACGCAGATGTGCTTGAGTTGCCAAACGCAGATGTGCTTGAGGCACCAAAGGCAGATGTATTGGTGGAGCCGAAGGCAGATGTATTTGTGGAGCCAAAGGCAGATGTATTTGTGGAGCCAAAAGCAGATGTATTTGTGGAGCCAAAGGCAGGGGTACTAGAGGTACCAAAGGGTGTAGATGACCCAAAAGCAGGCTGTGATTGTTGTGTGGTGCTTCCGAAAGGACTTGACTGAGGCGTTGAGAAGCCATTCTGTCCAAAAGTTGAAGTGCCTAAAATACAAGAAAAACAATTATCAAACAATCAAAGGCTTCAAAAAAAATAACATGTAACATCAAAAGTATAAGTTAACAATGTCAGTCCTAGTGTGAGAAAGTAAGTTCCTATCAATGTTCAAGCAATAGATAAACAAGGCAATAGAAATACTTACCACCAAAAGGTGAAGTCGAATTGCCAAACGCAGAAGCAGAAGGTGCTCCAAAGCTCGGAGTAGAGCTCCCAAACCCTTGTGATGAAGCACCAAAAGGGGAAGAAGCTTGAGCCTGACCAAACACACCTGTTGAAGTGCCTCCAAACATAGAACCACCACTCTGCGCCCCAAAAGGACTAGAAGCACCAAAAGGTTTCGGAGCAAAAGGATTATTATTATTACTAGTCGCGTTGTTATTGTTCTGACCAAACACAGATTGTGTTTGGTTCCCAAAAGGACTACTACTGTTAGATCCCTGTCCAAAAGCTGTAAACAAAACCATTCAGCTTGTCAAAGTTTGCAATTGAAAAAGCTATAAAACATAGTAAAAGCCAGAGTAAAGAATATGACTTACGATTAGATGCACCAAACATCTTCCTCTATTATGTTCACAACTCCTGTATTAGCAAAATAGACTGTTTTCTTCTAGGCTGGTACAAGCAACCAAAACACATGAATAGTCATTATAAGAAGCAAACGTTAGCGAAACACTATACTAAAAAGACTCTCTTCACCTTACAGTATACACGAAAACAATCACATAAACGGCGCTAAAACATGTGAGCATGATACGATGAAGAAATCAAATTAATGTATGAAGATCATGAAGGTACCAATTTACACAAACCATTTAACCACTCAAAATTGAAACGGTATCACACAATGCAGCATCACAATATGCGATTCAGAAGCAGGAATCACAAACCAAACCGAATACTAATCGAAACCTAAAGCGCAACTACGTCCCAATCCGCCGCAAATCGGAGGAGTTAGGGTTCCTTATCGAATAAGAAAGGGATAGAGGGAACCTTACCTGAAGTAATATAAGGAATCGACGGAGACGATGGCAATGAGATAGAGAGAGAGAATACTCGCCGGAACACGGAGGCCTAAAAGTTTGGGTTAATGTTCTGACGAAGAATAGGGTTATATATAGAGTGGGTAGGTGGGTTGCGTTGTTCTCAAGTGCGTCAAGTGTACGTACGCCTAGCGTCTTTCCGACGCCTTTGTGATTTGTTAACCGGTTGTATCCGACCTAGCCACCCTGATTTCTTCCTTACCCGGTTTGCTAATGCTAAGAATTAAGATTAATTTTTATGTAAATACTAGATATGCGTCGCACGGGTTTTATTTGATATTTTAATATTTCAAAAATATAAAAATAATAATTCATTTTATAGTTTTATGATTTTTTACATATGTTGTGTGAGATTTATTTTAAAATTTAAGAATTTGTTTTCCCGTAAAAGTTACGATAAAAATATTTTGTTATGTGAGTATTGTCATTTATAATTAATTTTAAAACATAAATTATAACTTATTATATTGCTTTGAATTAATAAAATATAGACTAATAATAAATTGTACGAAAATTATGCCCGCATGTGCGGCCAAAACACCTAGTTTATATTCTAATAAGCAAAAATTTTATTTAATGTTTAATTTTAGAAAAGATATAAAATAATAAATTATTTTATATTTTAACATAATTTTTGTATATGTTGGGTGATATTTATTTCAAAATTTAGAATTTTTTTACCCACATAAATATTGGTAAATATTTGTATTTTAATAATTATGGCATATAAGTGAACTGTTTTTAACTTTGTACCTAAGGCCAAAAAAAATAATCATACCTCAAAATTTAAACCAAATTCAGTTCGAAATAAGAATTAGAGTGAAATAAAAAAAAAATAAAGTTAAATAAGGTCAATCAAGTCAATAATATCATACAAATGTCACTTCTTAATTTGTGATGATAAATCTTAAAATAAATAATTAAATTATTTTATTATATGTTGTAATAAGGTTAAAGAAAAAAAAAGTAATAAGGTTGAAGACGACGATCTTATAGGTAATTAAGAAATTCTTCTAATTTCATTTTAAGTATCTGATATTTAATATCCTATATATTATTTTTAATTTTTATATAATTTTATAAACTTAGTTTCATCCCTGAAATATTGAACTCTACACACTAAATCCTAAATTCAGATGTTATGGATTCTTTTATGTAGTATTAAAAATGGTATTCAAGTTATAGTATTTCAAACAATACCATATAAAATGCATACTTATATTTTGATATTTTCATTGAAAAATATTTAGATTTAATATTTTAATTTTAAAATTTGCACCAATTTTTAATAGTTTAAAATTTTGTTATAAAAATATATTGATAATCATAAAACCTTATAATGAGAAAAATCATTTACTAAATATCCATATTTAAAATATATTATATATATTGTTAATGTCATTTAAATTTAATATATGATGGATAAAATTGATTGTGTTGATTTATTTACCATAAAATGATTGTTAATAAATAAGAATAATCGTTTGATTTAAATGCACTCACCAAATCTCCTATATATTAATTGAGGATCATTTAAAAAGTTATAACCTTAAATTTGTACTAATTAAAAAAAATCATATCTTATGTGACATTTCTTTATGAAATTCTATTTGGAAGAATTATAGAGCACTTCATATAAAGCATAGTTTAAAACAAAGTTTGTTAGTCTCATATAAGACATATCAAACTAAATAACATATTAAACTAAATCTCTTCTACATTCTTTCTTTAGATAAAACCTACGGAATTACCTAATGTGATTAAGATATATATGACTATTAATGATTTTAAATAATAAAGATTCGTTAACAATCTATATACTTTATACCATTTTTGTTTAATTTTTTATTATTAAAATAAATTACACAACTACACTAATCATATAATAAAAATTTAGATATAATATATTGTATTTTTGAATTTTTAAAACGAGTATAAATTACTAAAACTGTTAAAAATCTCACATAAACTTTTGTGATCAAGGTCTAAATTTTTTTTCTATAATAAGTTACAATGATTATAAAATCATATGAATAAATAATTTTATTTTAATAACTGTTTATGTTAATATATATCTCATATCGTAATAAATAATTTTATTTTAATAACTGTTTATGTTAATATATATCTCATATCGTAATAAATAATTTTATTTTAAACATAATTATAATTTAAAATTTAACTAATTTTTTTATAAAACTATTTTTTATTTAAAAATTATTTTATAAAAATATAATTTTCTGATATTATTAGACAAATAAATAAATTATATTAAAATAGATTTGAAATTTTATATATTCTAAATGCGTATATTCTATCAACTCCTACTTAAGAAAGCATTAGGGAACTTGATAATGCTCTACCAATTAAGTCATGTGACACTCCGTTTATTTTTCATCTCTCGAACACAGAAAATTGAAAAGATATATGAATCGGACCCATTAAATTATAAGTTTTGATCTACAATTCTAGTTACAATTGTTTTTGATCCTATATATAGATAATTATATAAAAATTTCAAATACATATAAAAAACAAAACAATCATATGTAAATTTTAAATTTGTGAATACTAAAATCTTATATTTTAATTACATATACTTACCCTTCACAAGGCGCACGTCTTATCCTAGTTAGTATTATAACCGGTTTTTTATTATTGTTACTCTTCTGGTTCATTAGCGTTTAAATCGTGTGACAGTCGTAACTGGTTATTAAATCCATCTGCAGCTATTTCATCTATCCATTATATATTAACTAAGAAACATTACAACATATTTTGGCAACCACGTGTCATCATGAAAATGACTTTCAAATTTATTAGAAAAAATATTGGTCTATATAAATATATATTATACTTTTTATTAAACTAACCATAAAAATATTATTAATGCTAATCATTGTTTCCTTAAATAAAATTTACGGAATTACCTAATATGGTTATATATATATATATATATATATATATATATATATATATATATATATATATGACAATTAATAATTTGAATATGAAAGATTTGATAAAAAATCATATAGTCTCTACTCTTTTTGTTAAATTTATATTGTGAAAATAAATTAAACAATAACATTAACATTAACTAAGAAAAAAAAGATATATATATATATATATATATTATATTTTTAATTTAAAAAAAACGACTATAAATTAATAAAAAAATGAAAATTTCACATATAATATTTTTGATTAATAGTTTAATTTCTTTTGTTATAACACGATAAAAACAATTATATAACTAATGAATAATAAATATCATTAAATAGATATCTAAATTATATATGTATATATATATTAGTGATGTTTAAATTAAACTATATACCTTTTAAAAATGCTAAAATATTTAATTCCAAAATTGCATTGAACAAGTATTTAGAACTTAATACTTTAATGACAAACTTTAAATTTATTTTTTTTAAACGATGATAAACTACTATAAATATTAAATCTCTTACATTAATAATGATGTTATCAATATTTTCATATTTTTATTATGAAAATATATAAATGATCAAAAAGCCATATAAGTGTGAAGTTTCATTTATTATATATCCAAATTAAAAGTATAATATATATATATATATATATATATCATTTATTAATTAAATTTACTTATATAAAGTGATTGTAAATAAACAATATGATTATTTTATTTAAGTGCTCGTTAAATTAATTATATATAATAGTTATAGATTTTTTAATTATTCAATATATATATATATATATATTTATAATATATAACAGAACAAAAAATAAAGAATAAGACATAAAATAATTTATATATATAATTCTCATCAAGCGTAAATGTGCAGATATTAACCTAGTCTAATTATATAACACTTGGTTTTCTAAGACTATGCACAATGATTGTGTTATTCAACACCCATTCTTTTACATTTTTACAATCCACATCACCAAAATACATTTTCTTTATTCCACATCATCACTAATAACACTTAGTTAACTTTTATAGCATACAATGCCTTGTTTTGTATTATTAACATTTTACCATTGTACTAAAAAAATAAATAACTTCGCTTTTTAATTTTAAAATTTATTTATGAATTTTATTTTAATAAATTAATGTATAAAATAAATAAGAATTATTAGTAAATAATCTCAATATTATAATTAAAAATTATGTATCTAAATTAAATGTACCAAGTCTCTATCTAAAGAACCAAAAAATGATGAATTTTGATATAAAATATATTTTCAAATAAAGTATATTTTGGAAGATAATTTACTTGAAACAAATAGGATGAATCGAAATATAAGTTATTGAAACAACCAATCAAAACTAAACTATTATATTGTTTATGTTTATCCTCCTATAGATTAAATGAGAAATCACTTAATTTATTCTGAGGTGTCATTCATATGAATGCTCTCCAAAATAAAAGTTATGATTTGATTGGTTGATGATTTTTCATTTTTTATTTATATAATTAAACTTTTTTTAAAGGAAAATCATCAATTATCTAATTTGATCTATATTTCTAAACAAACAATTAAACATCTTAAATATAGATGAACTAACATAACTTATTTATAAAAATATTTAAATATCATAGATTACATTATATAAATTGATAATATAAATATAAATACAACAGGGTTTGGCTGTGTAGCAGTGGGGTTAGCCATGGCAGGCCTATCAAAACAAAGAAGAGAACGAACCGTAAATAAGATATCTTAAGGGAAAAATAAGAGCATGCGCATCAGTAAAACTCTCTATTTCCGATTCCCAAAATTCTTTTATTAATTTTTCTATATTTTTTGTTTGATTTAAATAATAATAATAATAATAACCAATCAAATTAATGTATGAAGATCATGAAGGTACCAGTTTACACAAACCATTTAACCACTCAAAATTGAAACGATATCACACAAAGCAGCATCACAATATACCATTCAGAAGAAGGAATCACAAATCAAACCGAATACTAATTGAAACCTAAAGCGCAACTACGTCCCAATCCACGAAAAATCTGCCGCAAATCG